GTCCTTCCGGTTCATCTTTGGATTTTTGAAATTTATCCAAAATGCCTCAAGAGTTTTGCGCGTTGATGTTTTTGATTCCTGCGCTAGGATCCGCACATTCACTTCAAAATCATCGCCGCTGTGCTTTCGTGCTCTATGCGTACCTAGAGGGGTGTTTAAACGGATTTTAGCTTTTCCATCTAGATGTTCTTTTATGCGGACGCAAAGTGGTCTACCCGTTTCCTCGCCGCATGCATTACATGAGATCAAGTATATTATACCTGAATTCATGCAATCCCCGTCTCTCCCGTTAGGACAGATCATACAGTTTTCTGAGTCAACTAGAATGTTTTTACTACTTGGCTTGCGATACCATTTTGTTACATAGCCACTTACTGAGAGTATCGCAAGCCAAATAGTAAAAACATTCTAGTTCACTGCCTCTCCTCTCATCCTTCACACATGAAAAAAGCACTTATCAAAAATATGTATCGTACGGCTAAAAATGTGTGTACAGGAGAAGAGGAAAGGAAGGAATCGCGAAACCTGGCACGAAAAATTGCCATTTCCAATGGCTACGAAGTAGAAACCACTCGGGTTAGAGGAAAACGTTGGGTAGTTTCCCAAAAGAATATTTCAGACGAAAGTAGGATCTCCTTTAAGCTGCCCTTCATATCAAATGAAGTAAGTCACGCCATTAAAAAGTGCTTAAGAAAAAGTGGTCTTGAAAATTATGTAACGATTATTGACATCCCACCCAACACCCTACGCCGCCAGTTAGTTCGAAACCGTCTCTATGATCGTTTATGCAGCTCAGAAAACTGTATGATCTGTCCTAACCGAAGAGATAGGGATTGCATGACTTCATGCATAATATACTTGATCTCATGTAACGCATGCGGTGAGGAATATATTGGGGAAACGGGTAGACCACTTTGTGTCTGTATAAAAGAACATCTAGATGGGAAAGTTAAGATCCGTCAAAACACCCCTCTAGGTACACATAGGGCACAAAAGCACAACGGCGATGATTTTGAAGTGAATGTGCGGATCCTAGCGCAGGAATCGAAGACGTCAACGCGCCAAATACCTGAGGCGTTTCGGATAAATTTCAAAAATCCAAAGATGAACCGGAAGGACGAATGCCTCACTATCACGCGTGACTTGGCGCCCTATTTCAAAATGATATTTTGACCCCGGGACGTGTCTTGCTCGCGTGAACTACGTGTGGGCCAGTCCCGCACGTAACATCACGGTGAGTGGCCTTTCTGTTCAATATGGCGTCTATTTGAAAGTTTGATCTTCATTAATACTTTAACCTTCTTTTCCACCGAGTAATAAAAAGTATTCTAACATAAAGTACGTCCAGGCTCTGAGGAAGGCGAAGTCGCCGAAACGTCAGCCATCGTTCAATAACATCAAAAACAACGACAACGACAACGAAGATCTGTACCAACCTCGCGTCAGCTTAAGAAGATCAGTTTATAAGATCACATAAATAAATATATCAGCTATCTATGCCGAGGTTCATAGAAAGTCGGTCTTTCGAGTTATGAAGAATCGTGGAATTCAAAAAGTTGGCTGGCATTGAATCCCTTTCTAAACCCTGCTTCCTCACGTGGCTATCCTTCGTCCAGGGTTCTGTCAATCTTGTTTGGGATGACTCGAGTGAAGATATTGTAGACGATAGCAAGTAAGCAGATTGGGTGATAGTTGTCTCCCGCGATTCCACGTTGACGTATCAGCTCGAATATTTATGGAGACAGACACTTCTTGTTGATTTTCGAACTCTCACCTTTCATAGCGCTAACTTGAAAATGACGAGCCAATTGTGTTCTTCGTCAATTTTATCAAGAACGACATGTTCTCATGAGCGATTAATGATCTGAATGAATCCCAGTTTACGGAGGTTTTAGGATTTCGTGTTTTTAACTTAGCGGCTCGCTCTCACTCTCGTTGGTCTAATCCGGTATAGAATTTTGGAACACTAGCTGTATCTGTTAGGCAAAACTTTCGATATACTATGATGTGGTCTATTTCGATTGGTACTCTCCATTGCGAGACTACCACATCCAGCTTTGATGATGGTTTCTTGAATTGTGTTACCATGAATGGTTTTGATCGTCATGATAAATTCAGACTTCCTCACATCCTGTTCGTCTCGTTCTAATCCTGGGATCCCCAATACGACTTTCTCCAGACGTTCTTATTGTTCACTCTTAGCGTTAAAATCTCCAATTATGGCCACGAACGCATGGTCTTCTCTGTGGAACTTCATAGAACTATTCGACTTCTTCTTCGTCATAGTTTGATGTCGGCGCGTAAACGACGAAGATTGTCAAAGCCAGTACTGATCCATATCTCTTCAAACGTAATTGTTTGATTCGAGTTGTTAGTTGTTCGAATGAATCGACGTTCATTACCAAACTCGTATTAATGAGAACGCCGACGCCGCATGTTCCGAGGAACAGTTCTTCCCCAGTGTGATAGACGGCGTGGAATGGTGACGTCATCTCGACTAAGCCAGGCGGACACGTCGTACCTTTATCCTCCTTGTCTGCATGATCAGGTCCTTTACGCAGAACTCAGATCCATGTAAGCATGCCTCATGGGTATGCATTGTCTTTGTCCTTTGCGATTTCAGCAGTCTAGGATGGCCTTTCCGCACTCGTCCTACCTACCGCTGCTGTATTGTCGGCTTCTCCGTGGTTAGGGGAATGAAACCCACCTACTTTGCTGTGTTTAGCATTTACCCATTTATAGTTTCTGTGTTCTGAACAAGGAGTTGGATATACTCACGAGTAGCTTCCCACTCGCTCTTGGACTAGTGAGGGGAACCTATTCGTTGGAGGCGACTCCTAAAAGCCTCCCATATACCTCCCTGTCACTTGATTGCAGTCCGTTGGCCGAATAGACGCATAGAATTCAATCCGCAAAAACCAGAACAAATCCGCACATACATGCATCAATACGTCCTCGCAAATACAGAAGGTATGTGCCAAATCAGCGCAGCAGAAACGGATTTCACCTCATGGATCCAATTACGTGTCAAAGAAGGATAAAGTCGCTTTTGCTGCGCAATTAACCCTCTATCAACTACCTGGGGATGCTCCACGTTTCGTTTCGACTAACCAAAGGAGATCGTTCCGTGAGGAAGATAAGTAGTATAAATGTAAGTGTGGAAAATGATAGAGAAGATTTGTTATTTTGTGAGGAACGCTCTCTATGTGCGCTACCTACAACTTCTGCATAACGGTTACTGTGCATAATAAACGACTTTGGATGGAAACTATAAAATCATCAAGTAGGACTTCTTCTATACGAAATCCTATTGCACTGACCACATCTAGTCGTAGTTAGGATCACAGTAGTATGACGGCAATACTTTCTCACCTTGTACCAACTTAATTAAACTACAAGAACTCACTCAACAGCTTCGAAACGAACGCCATACTTAGGCTGGCCCACATTCGAATACTACCCGATCACTATCGACTAAATAGCGCGCGTGTGGCGCAGTGGTTGGAGACACCCTGCAACACAAACGTGAAATTGATCCCCGCGCCCATGGTGCACCAAGCATTCCATTCCTTCGGGATCGGCAATTTGGTACCAAACTTGTCTGGAAGGATAGCAGCACTGGATCGACGGTAGGCCACCGCAAGTCATTGCAAAGGCCAGATATGCATCCAATTCACCTCCAAACGATGCTTAATGAAGTCCACTGCATGGCGCATCCCGTCCCTCACGGGTTGATCATCGCCAAGGGCTTTAACACTTTTTTATCGACTAAACAAGAAAAAGCTCCGCGAATTCTTCTTTTGATCGTCCAGCTTTTGTTCTCATCATTTTGCACAATATAAGCAACTTCCCAATGCACTCCTATTTACTGCCTATTCATTTTCATGGCAGGGTATAAGGTGAATTATAATTGCTGGTAGCACCTATAAGTTAAAAACTTGGCTGAGAGAAAGGCGAAACGAAGGGCCGGCATGGTGTGGTATTGAACGCGTTAGCCTCTGGAAATAGTATTCAGAGCTGTTAATAATCAGCTGGATTACAGGTGCACTTTTCGTTAGCAAATTTGGAGTACTTCACTAAGAGAAAAGTGCTGTTGGAGTGCAGCCACTCTGCAATGCGGACCATGACAGCGAGCGGACCTCTAAGAATTAGGAGAGAACTTCTGACAACACTATTGAGCCAAACACTTGTCAAACCGAGCTTGATTACCCTCCATCTCGAAAATACAGAATTCTGTGAAGTTTCATGCAGCATCCTCACAACAGAAGTAAACATACATATCCACACGACACTAACATTCCAAAACAATTATAGAAGGATAGAAGGCTGAAGCTTTCAGTGTTGATCAATTCTTGAGAGATGCACCAAACATCCGACTTCGTTGGACGTCGTTGGAGCTGATCGAATGCATATCTGACCTTTACAATGATTCGCGATGGCCTACCGAGATCTATCGAGTCAGTGCTGCGATGCTCCCAGATTAGTTTGGTATCAGCTTGCTGAACCCGGAAGTATGGTAGGCTTAGTCGGCCTGGACGCCGGGTTCGATCCCATGTATATTCCAGGACGCACCCGACCACTTCGCTACACGCACCCCCTCAAAACAATGAAGATTGAGGGAATCCATGTTAAGAAGTCTCTCAGTGTCAAACATCAGCAAGTAGAACGCTAATCTACAGCCATAAATTTATTATTTGTCGCCATCAAATTCGACTTCAAGAAAACAACGAACCGAAACACTGAACAATGCGGTAGACCTTATGTCTCACAACACTCCAAACACTTCTCTAATAGCTTTAGTGAAACAAACACTGGCCAAAAGTATAGTTAAGAAAGACCGTAAATCACAACAGTGTGAAAACATTTAGGTGCTTAAGCACACAATCATCAAAGAAAATAGACACACCGGTGACCGGCTAAGCTTCAACAGTGAGAAATATCTTATAGCTCTGTTAGATATGTGAACGAAAAAAAGATGAAAACAATACATATACCATAACCTAATGAGCAATATCACCAGCGCCCTCTGAACGAGCTTTTTGTTTAGCCTTTAGAAGCAGTTCAGACGATATCTTCAATGGTTTCGCCTGCTCCCAAGGAAATGAGTCGTGACCAAAGTGGCCGTTTTCAGCTGTGCGCTCATAAATGGGTCTTTTCAGCTTGAGCTCCCTAAAACAACTATTCTAGATACAGAAAAGGAAACATTTACACAGTAAGACGGCTTGCGATGCTAACTTGATGATCATTCCAGGTCGAAGATCGAAGTTATCGTTAACAATTTCGAGTAGTTCGCTCTCGTTAAGTCCCGATGTTCCGAAAGCGAACACCATAATGGACAGAGGTTTTGCAACTCCGATTGCATAGGACACCTGGACAAGGCAACGACGGCAAATACCAGCCTTGACCAGTGATTTAGCTACCCAACGAGCAGCATATGCAGCTGAACGATCAACCTAAACACTACTCTTTATTTTCAATAGTGCATTAGACAAGAATTAAGCATTAACAAGTCACCTTAGTGGGGTCCTTCCCAGAGAATGCGCCACCTCCATGAGCTCCCCATCCTCCATAGGTGTCAACAATGATTTTTCGACCAGTGAGTCCAGCATCTCCCATTGGCCCTCCGATGATGAATTTCCCACATGGATTTAAGTGGTACACTGTCTTGTCGTCAAGGAGATGCTCCGGAATCACAGCATGAATTACCTGCACAACGATGATAAGAATATAATCGATATTAAATGAATTTCCAACTTTTGTCATGAGATAAGAAAATGCTTTGGAACAACATACCTTTTCAAGAACATCACTTCTCACTTTCTCCAAGCTCACATCTGGCGAATGCTGTGTAGACAATACAACAGTATGGACACGCAAAGGAATACATGCTCCACCATCAAACTTGTACTCAACCGTAACCTATTAAACATACACAATAAGTAATGAACGATTCATAGCTCAGATCAGGTACGACACACTAACCTGTGACTTTGAGTCTGGACGTGCCCAGTGAAGTTCACCACTCCGACGCAATTCATGGAGCTTTCCATTCAACTGATGAGCGAGTTGAAGCGTCAATGGCATAGATTCCTCGGTTTCATCAGTAGCGTAGCCAAACATAATACCCTGCAAAACAACAGGTACTTATAGATTGAACATAGAACACCTTGCGCCTCCAACTATGTAAACGAATTAGGTATTGAGGGCACATCATTGACACTATTGACATTTCATATGTTCTTAGATAAATCCACAAACCTACCTGATCACCTGCTCCAACATTTTCCTCATCCTTCTCAACATGCACACCAGCAGCAATGTCTGGCGATTGTTGCTCAAGGGCAACCAGCACATTGCAAGTTTTATAGTCGAAACCTAAAGTGATCAATTTAAAGATAACCTTGATCCATCCCGCATTCATAACAAATCCTACATTACATTGGTTATTAAGTACCTTTGTTCAATAATCCGGCTTCATCGTAAAAAAAAATGGTTAAAAATGCACTTGAAATTTTGTTATACAAGATATACCAGATACTGAACACACAAATCACCACTTTCTCCAAATAAAACCCTACCTGTAATTCCCCTCTAAATTAAAGCGTTATCTCATAGGTTCCTCCCAACGGCTTACCGCCTTATCGTGGTCGAGAGGTGTGTTTGGATATGGGGTTGCGATGTAAAACGGAGGGATTCATCATCCCAGCAGGGTCTCCCAAGTTGAGACGGAGTCTCGCATTTCGATCAGGAAGTTCAGCTAAAACTGAACCAATTTCAGGATCCACCACCGTCTTGGTATTACAGTAGTCGCATAGTGGCGAACCTCCCTTTGATCCACATGCGCGGTGACTGCCTGCGGTTTGTGACGACGTGAGGGCAGACCTTCGCCCGAATGACCTCGGCACTCCATGGAACCACGTTGACTAAACCAGCAAAACTCCGAAACAATGGAAATTATGCTGCGAACCGCACAAGCAGTGAAGATGGATCATCCAAGTTTCCAAGTATCTTATGCGTTAATGTCGCAAACACTAATAAGTACGACAAATCTACCAATCCTCCGATGCATAGTGAACAGATGTGCGGTGAAATGGTTGAAAAGAAAAAGGCTGATATATATACAAGAAAAACGGTAAAATTCATGCCACTTGCACTGTTTAATTCTAGGTCCCCTCCAGCGATGGAGAACGTATAGGTTGTACTCACATCCCTAAAATCTCACGGATACATACAATATAGGAACGTCTTAGTACGGCTAATATAGGATTCGATAGCTCGACTTGACCAGGATTCAAGGACATTAATAAAGAAAATTAAAAATACTCAAAATCCACCCGAAGCTGTAAACGAAAATTATCGAAGATCTTTGTATATAATGTGGGAATAGGGAAACTAACCAAACGGATGAAGTGCTGTGGCAAGCCCGCGCTATCTCTGATGTACGGTCACGCAGTGTTTAAAAATAGTTGCACTCAAAAAACTACTAAGAATCTCTGTTTACACAGTTTGAAAAACCCCTATAAAAGAACCTTCGTTTACTGTCAATAGTCGCCTCATAAACGATAACAGTTGTGTTATCAATCAAAGTCAAGCAGACACTAATGCCAGTGGAAACGAACGTTGATTTCTAGAAAGTTGTTTCACAACCAAGATTTTGTCCCATTTACATAGAATAAACAGAATCTACGACAACGTATGGACAGAATGCTCAGTGAATAACTTAATTCCACGAAACACCATCGGCACCTTTATTCAACAAAATTACGTACTAATAAGTCCAACCTGAAAGCATTGAAACTAGAAAATTCAAATCCTAAACCGAATAGTCTACGAAATCGACCGGGCTCATTGATATAGCAACTTTAGAGGATACGTAACAGTTCTAAAATGGAAAAAAAACCACAAACAACGAGCATTCTATCACTAGATAGACGAGATCTGCTGAAATTACTAGCTAGTGGCTACACAACCTCATTTACTTAGCTTTAAAAATAAAAAAGGTCTCGGCGGTGAGCAGTCCCTGAGATGCGTCATGCATTCGACCTCATTAAGCATCGTTTGGAGGTGACTGGATGCATATCCGGCCTTTAAAATTACTCGCGGTGGCCCACCCATGCATATATCGAGCCAGTGCTACTACCCTCCCAGACAAGTCTTGCACCAATTTGCTGAGCTCGGAAAGATGCAGGCTTGGTGAACCTGAGGCTTAGGGACCTATCACATGTGCATTGGAAGCCGCCTCCGAGCACAGTGCTATACGCGCCCATTTACATGTACACATGCACTTATTTAACTGGCTAACACGACCTAGACCGTTAAGTTCTCTAAATCCTAAAAAATTGCTCAACCGCAGTCCTCACCAGGATTGACTGGGCCAACCAACTCACAATAACGGACGGCACATTTCGACGGCAAACATGGAAAACCACAAACCCTTGCTAGAATCGTCGTAGCCGATCTTCTTGACGACATCACGGACGAGTGTCTGGTAATCGATATTTGCCTTAGATGTGATTTCGCCACACAACATGATCATACCCGTTTTAGTTACCGTTTCTGTAAGCAAAGCAACTGTTCAACGGGTGATAAATCAGATGTGAGACAGACAATCACACATAGCGTACATAGGCTACGATATCCTGAAACACAACAGATTACTTCCTCGTAAAAAAAACAGTTGGTCTTTATGAAAAACATGGGACTACGCTACTGTCTGCTGCTTACAGCAACACATTAAAGCAGTTGAGTTAAGAGTTGCACCTTCCAGTCTACAAAAATCGAAAACATAAAAGTTTTGACAGCATAAATGTTCTATTCAATCTAATGAACATGAAGGCAGCTCTCTCTCTCTCTGTCAACTGGATGTATTTCCTAAACGTCAGCTCCTTCCAAATTGAATATGTTCCAGTTCCAATCACTCAAAAACACGATAACGAAACCATACCCTATATAAGAGCAAAAATTTTTACAGAAAAGAAACTCAAAAACAATAACAGAAAGGTGGTATGACCATTTAACCAACAAGGATTGTATCATGGGTATACCGCATTACTTACATCCTGAAACTACCCCTGTTACTTGTATGTTCTTTAATGTACCTACCACAAGCAACCTTTGCATCAGGGTCAATCTTCAAGTGCGCATCAAGTACTGCGTCTGAGATCTAAAAATAATTATACCAATGCACAGATTAAAGTAAACAACGCTCATATTCACACTTCTGAAGAAAACACCTATACTCCCCACTGATAGTTAACAATGATGAAAGCAAAGAATAAGCATGGCAAGGCGTATAAGCAGGAGCAACATACAAGCCATGTTTTACTGCTTATGTCAGTAAGTTGAAGTACAACTTACCGCAGCACCTATCGATTTCTCCTTTTGCCAGATAATAAACGTTGTAGAGCCACAATTAATCAGACGACTAACAAGCACGATTAACCAGAGCGTCGTCTTAGAGCAACTGGAAGAAGAACTGACCTGGTCACACATTTTGTCCGGGTGTCCTTCCGAGACCGACTCTGACGTGAAGAGGAACGTGCTCGCCGTCATCACTGAAAGCCGCAAGAGCTATGAATGCGACCGCCACGCGACAGCAAGGGGCGGGGTCATCATGAGCTCTACACCACAAGCACGCGATCAGACGCAAAAATACACAAAAAGCACACCAGCACCGTAAATGACTACGAAACAACACCGCAATCTTTAGATTAGTACACGTTATCCTGAAGCCATCCTTACACGGGAGTCTGACAACCTCATTTGGAAGCCCACTTAAGAGCAGACGAACATCAAGGATTGCCACCAACGGTACAAAAACTAATGAGAATAGAATATAACAAAACACGCTGAAAAATTACGACACGGTTTCAGTTTAAGGTCATTTCTTATCTAATATTTGGATACTTGGATGGCACGTCTTCACTGGTCGTGCGGGCCCCAGTATAATTTCCACTTTTCCGTAATGTTTTTTGAATTAGCCATTGAAGTTCCTCGGAGTCTCCAGGTTAGCCAGGCCAAAGTTTGCCCCAGGTCGTCACCACCACAGAAAGTTGCCTCCTTTGTGGATCGGAGAGAGACTTTCCACCATGCGACTAGTTTGATACCAGAAGGTGGTGGATCCTGGTATCGGTTTACTCTTAGCTGGGTTTCCTGATGGAAACAATGGAGTCTTTCTCAGCATTGGAGACTCGGACGCGGGATGAATCACTCCGCTCTATACCTCTATTCAACACCCAGGAACACCTCCCAGCCAAGACGATGAGTTAAATCGTTGAGACCAGAAGGCGTATTTCTACAAAACTGAAGGCTTTCTGCTCATAAGCCATCTAATGGGACACTAATTCTGTGTTTAAGCTGGACAGTTCTTATCTGACGGGCTGTATTCATAAAGCAATTCGTCGGAAAAACAGTAAGAGACGTGAAACAGCCTGCCTGGAATAATCTTCTAACAGGTCGCTTTTCAGACAGAAGCGTTTCGAAGACTAAAGGATGCTGGAACTTGAAATACGGACGCCTTTTCGGTGGCCAGATGTTATCTAAGCAACGATTCCCGACTTGTCTACGACGATTCGTTAACGACCACGATAAGAATTCAAGGCGAAAGCGAAATTGTCTTCAGTGATAGGACCAACTTCAAACGTTTTTAGCCCAGGACTTTTTAGAACTAATTAACATCAGCTATGGTATTTCCTGATTTATAACTCATGCGGAACACGTTACGATTTGCATAGGATTTTCGAAGAAACAAACATACAGTCAGTACACGGCCAGAGTGGGGGTTGAGGAAAGGTGGAGGCGTTGTGGGGCAATGAGGGCCAGAGTCACTTAATGATAACATAATCATATCTACCATCTTGGTTTGGTTCCTTTTCTCTATGCTCCTCATTTTGCCAGAAACTCAAAAATGAAATTCTGGTCTTCGTCAGAATTGCTGTAGCATAAAGGATAAAAAATAAAGCTCTCGGCATTCGTCAATATCCCTGAGGGATGCGCCATGCATTCCACTACATTGCGCATTGTTTGAGGTGATTGAATGCACGTTTGGCCTTTACAGTGATTCGCGGTGACCACCCGACGTATCGAGCCATTGCTGCTATCGTCCAAGACAAGTCTAGTGGTCATTTGTCGACTCCGGAGTGAAGGAGGGCTTGGTGGGCCTAGGGCGCGGGGACCGATCCCATGTGTATTTCAGGGCGCCTCCGACTAATGCGCTACACGTGCCCTTTACTATAGCGTAGAGCCATTAATGTCAATTTTTTTATTTTACTATTTTACTATTTTACAACTGTAATTTACAAATTGCTCGCTATAATTCGTCACCATTCGAACTCTGGACTCGATCGATCAAATCAAATCACATGAGAACTTCTTTGGTCATCTGCGTGAAGAAAACCGCCGACAAGGTCACAATGATAAGGAGAATAGATTTTGTGAACAACGGAAAGAATGGTCTACACGAAAAGACCTAAAATGTTCGTAAATAAGTCGGCATAGAGAAGAAGAAACCTCACAGTTATCTAAGAACAAAGGACTTAATACCGTCCTACTAAAAAAGAGGCGTCATTTTAGTGGCAGTTCGCCTGTGCATTGGTGTAAATACACACGGCAGAGAATCCCTTGCTCACATCCTCTCTCTCGTATCGTTTACAAACGTAAAAGAGAAATAGTTGAAACAGTAAGATGATCTGTTACCGTTCAATTCTTCGCCGATTATTGATTAGACCTTAGTAACAACACGCTTATAACTTATCTAATATGACACTCATTCCACAACTCTTTTCCATTCGTTCCAACATATTTCATCATGTTTTTTATTTCCTTCTTTCTCTCATCTTTCCATCCTTGCTTTCTTTTCATTCTCTTGAGCACATTGATTACCACATCTAATCGTACTTGTTCGTCCGCTCTAAATGATATGCACGTTTTTTTCCTAGGCTAAAGAATCAGATAACGCGCTCCAGTCGACGATTTTTTTGATTAGATCAACGCGATTGGCGGAAAAGTATACATGGCACACGATGCACTTCAGATAAATCGATAGAAGCGCTCTTGGTTTGTGGCAGAGAAGAAAAAAAAAGAAGAAAAGATGTGAAAGGGAAAGAGAAAGGAATGGGAAGGGTGATGGAAGATGTGAAATGGAAAAAGCAATAGGTCGTTTTCGACAAAAACACGAAATTCCATGGATTTCCTTTTCATTTCTTTTCCTTTCAAATTAAGTAGAAGATGTAAAGACGGACTAGTGAATTGCCCTGTTCCTTAGTGCTGGTATGAGCGATTTTTGCTCCATCTACAGCGCGCCTTCGAACTACGATATGCATTGATTTCCACTCATAAGTGATCAGAAATGGCTACTCTTTTCAAATCTAACCAGACATATCCCATCTTATTTACCAATTTTATTGTCTGGCATTTTGAATGGCTGTCAATACATTTAGAGCGGCATGGCGAGATCTATCTGTCAGGTTTTGAAATCCCCAAAAGCCCTAGGTATTCCCTAGGTAGGTAAAAGTTGTCGGAGGTTATTGAAAAACCGGTATGGTCACGAATGCGTTAATATGAATCTGTGGTGAAAGGTGGTGAACTTTCATACACTGTGGAATAAGGGGGATAAAGGGATAAGGGATAAATCGTCCGGAATGTGCTAAGCATTTGACAACATTCGTAGAGGGTATCCAATTCATGTTTGGTCTCTAGAATGACTGGCAGGGCCGACCGATGTATAAACCAAGTGTTTTATCCTTTTCAGATAATCATGGTGGTAATCTGGCGACTCCATGGGGAGGAGTGCTTGGTTTGCCCGGGCACTGCGTTCCAACCAACAAGCACGTGTGTATTGCAGGACACCTTTAGCAACTGCGCTACAGGCGCACCGCAGAGTATAAGAATTATTTTTATAACACTGAGCTAATGAACTAAAGAGAACCAACTAAAGTGGAGCATAAAGAATGGAATCGTGTACAAGTAGCCCTGTTTACTTATGAAACTACTGTACTACAAGTTCAGCCTCTGGTGGGTTTTATCGTCACATGTTATGGATTGTATGGAGAAAATGGACTTATCCTATTTAGCATCGACCGAGTTGTTTCATAATAGATGACAGACGACAACATCATACAGAACATTGTAAAATTAACAATGGGACTATTCAGCTGCACAATGAGAGGGTTATGAGTCCTTAATCGGCAGAAAACAATCTCTCTAACGACCGCTCTGTGGAAACATTTCTACTTGAATGACGGAGCACTATTTGGATATACCACTCTTAACTTGTTTAAATTGTTGAGCTGACACGAGGTTAACGAATAGGTTTATTCGCCTAACATTTCGACGTCTTCATCTTCATGAAAGCCGATGATCCGAGTCGATAGTCTAAAGTTGTTCGTTTCCATGAACGAAGACAATTTTATAAACTTCGTGTTGGCTCAACAATTTAATCAAGTTGGTTATTTTACTAGCGAGCTTAAATGACGATCGATTTGAGAATTATACTACCCTTAATTAAAGATTCCCAGGTTCCTGGGTGTTGGACTGCGATGTACAACGGGGGGATTCATCGTCCTGGCAGGATCTCCTAAGCTGAGAAGGAGTCCGGCTTTTCCATAAGGAAGCCTAGCTAAGAGTAAACATACTAGGATCCACCACCATCTTGGTATCAAACTAGTCACATGGTGGCAAATCTCCCTCTGATCCACAAGGACTGCGACTGCTTGTGATGGTGAAGACTTGGGGCACTTTGGCCAAGCTGACCTCGGGATTCCAGGGAAGCACAGTGGCTTAATCAGCAATTCTCCGAAAGAGGGAGATTATGCTGGGGCCTGCACAACCAGTGAAAGCGGGTCATTCAAATTTCAAGTACCAAGTAATTAGAGATTTCAAGTTCCATAACAAAAAGTGGAAGTGTTAGCGAAATTACGAGAATTCCGTTAGAATAACAAGTCTCTCGTGCTAAGGTGAAGATTCTGCAGATCATTGATTAACATGATGGGTAGTAAGGTGTTTAATACATGTAATCAGTTGCTGCCGATTTTTTGATGAGCTCATGTGGCGCAATAGTTGCGATGCCATGCCGTACATCTAAGCTCTTCTTTTGGATCCCGTGCACTGAACAAGCCAACCAACAAACTCTCCATCACAGCAGTGCTGGCAAATTGATATCGGACTTCTCTGGAAGGACAAAGAACACTGAATTAATATATCGGTGGACACACGCCGCAAGTCTTTACGTTGACAAAACACGCATTCGCACACCTCTACTGTGCTGCGCATGGAGTCGAATGCGCTTTTCTTTGGTATTGATTAACGACAAATATTTTGTCCTTTGCTCCTAATTTATGTGAGTGGTGCACTGTATTTGAGAGCTAGAAAGGTCCTCATAAACACAATGAGGTCACTACATTATATTGAATAGACAGTGATATCATCTTGGTCTCAAATGAGATTCGTATCCTTCACTCATTTCGTTGAAGATGAACAATAGTGACAAGAAAGGCGAACATTCTTTCAGGATGAATAGAAGCTAAAAGAGGATAAAGCTCGGCATTCATCAATAT